TGTCCTTTTGGTTATTGATGGGCTGGCTGGATGTTGAATTCAAGATTAGAAATCATTTTCCTTCATGATTATGATGGTGTTGCTCTATTGTCATCTAGTGTTGCCTTTGAGAGATCCAAAGCTATTCTGTGTGAACTGTGTCATCCTTCATCACCGCACATCTTTACCCCCACTTCTGGAAACCTGACAATCTCCTTGTCCACAGTGATTTTAAATTTCACAGTAGTATGTGTATGGACACGGGTAATTTATTTTGCTGAGTACTTAGTGGGTCCTTTTAATTTGAGCTCCTCATGATTTAAATTCTGGGAAATTTTCTTGGAATATTCCTTTAATATTTTCCCCTTCCATTTTCTTTTTTTTTTTCCCCATTTATTTATTTTATTGCATTTCAGGTTTTGGGGTACATGTGAAGAACATGCAAGATTGTTGCATAGGTACACACGTGGCAGTGTGATTTGCTGCCTTCCTCCCCATCGCCTACATCTGGCATCTCTCCCCCTGCTATCTTTCCCCAGCTCCCCACCCCCCACCCTCCCTCCCCTATTTCCCCCCAACTGACACTGGGGTCAATTTTCTTTGTTATTTATGCTCTGCTTTTCCCAAATTTATCGGCCAGTGCTTGCTTCTATTGATAAATTTTTCTGTGTGTTTTTTTAAGAGCTCTTTTTTAGTTTTCTGAAACTTCTGGTTTTTGTTTCACAATAGTGATATCTTGCTGAGGATATTAATGGTAATTTGAAGTCTTGTTGTGTAGTGTGTTTCCTCTAAGTTGCTCTTTTTGTTTGTTTTTGGTTATATCTTCCAAATTAGAGACTCTTCAGATGTCTTAGGAACCTTGGTTGTATACTCATGATTAGGAATAGAGAAATGGTTCTCAACTGGGGATAAATTGAAACTCCCCCACCCCAGGAGGACATTTGGCAATATCTGGAGGCCTTTTTGGTTGTATGCTACTACTATCTAGTGAGTAGAGGCTGGGGATATTGCTAAGCATCCTACAATGCATTGGACATCCTTGCGCAACAAAAAATTATCTAGCTGAAAATGTTAATAGTGCTGATACTGGAAACCCTATAATAGAGGACCTGAAAGCTGATTAAGAGAGCTTCGAAGGTGCAGGTGGAACATGCTGACTTTGGGTTTCGCTGGAGGATGATCTAGTTAAGTAGTTTGGAGAACCTCTTCATTATCTTTAGGTCTTTTCTTCTGAGCTAGTCAGATATTCAATAGAAAAGTCTTTCATCTCCTGCCTTACGGATAAATATCTGGCTTCCAATATTCCTCCTTGTTAATCAAAAATGGATTGGGGCTGTCTGCGTTCAGTGTATATGTGACCACGTAATACCTTTGCTTTTCATATAATACTCACTTCCTCAACAGCCTGTGTTTCCAGTTCTGAGACCCTATGTTTTATTTACACTCTCCAGAGAATGAACCTGTTGGGATGAGGGAGCGGCAGTTATTCATGGTATGAAGTAGAGGAGACCACCTAGGGCTCTAACTGCTTCTCTAACACATTTCATTCAAACCTTGTTATTTTAACTCCACCCTCTCTTCCCTTCAAATTCCAGAGTTATCTGAAACCCTTTTGTGAGTTTCTTGAGGACTCTACTGTATAGATGGGTTTGGTTCTGAACTGCCCTTATTTTCTCTTTGCAGTTCAGCTTTCCCAAGTCTGCTAAGTCCATTACCACTCTCCATCTGCTTTCTTGCCTTCCAAATTTAGTTATTACTATTATTTCCTCTCTTGTTCTTCCAATCCTTTTATAAAACCCCTTTGATATCATTTTAGTGGAGTTTGGATTGAGAAATAAATTAGATACATTGTGCTCAATCTAGCCCATGATCCTGGAAACCAACATACTATATTCTAGCATAATTTGATTTAATTCTAGTCTTTTTTTTATATATTACCTTTGTTATCAGAATTATTTCCTAGACTTAGGCTTTATTCCCATAAATGAAAACTAGAAGATATTATTCTGTGTCTGCATAAGGACACAGTTGTATTCTTTTCAAAATCTTAGTGAATATTATAGCAGTATTCACTTCTAACATATTCTGGTTTAATTGACCTTTTGCTTAAAAATATAGACTGCTGTTAGCAGCCATCTGCCTCAAGTAGAACCTTGTGTTGCCATCCCAATCAATATTCCAAATTTGAAAAAAGTTGAATAACGAATATATATTTCAATATATTTCATTAAATCTGAAATGCCATCAATGATCTTATTCCATTTTTATTAATACTGTGGTCATAATTAGTGGAAATATGAGAAAGATAGTTGTTTATGATGATGGCTTATGACTATCTCTACCAGTATTTTCTATCACATTCAAGAATTGACTGTACCTTAGATTTAAAATTTTAAGGGTGAAATTTCAAACATCAGTAAAAGATACAAGCCAGACCGAAACCTATGCCTCCTGAATTTTTTATGTTCCCTAAACTGTCATCCAAGTATAAGTAATAAGTGTAATATAGTAGATGTGTTATACTACTTTATCACTCCTCCCTTTTAAGATGGGAAACCAACCTGAATTTTAAATTTTTTTCAGTTTCAGCTGAGTTTCCAGTTAATGGGTTAAATCACAAAAAACTCAAAATATATTTTGGTATCTTTTTAGGGTGTTAAATTTGGTTTACCTTTGTTAACCCCCTGGATGTCATTGATGGACAGACCTTTAAAATGCTTTACTTGTAACATGTCTTCAGGTCCTCAGTAGTTCACAGATATAATTATCTTCTTTGCCTCATATTATAAAATTAAAGAATTGGGGATTTGATTTGATTTTTATTCACAGATTTTTTTAAAGTTTATGTTTTAAATGAGAGCACATGGACACAGGGAGGGGAACATCACACACTGGGGCCTGCCAGGGGGTGGGGGGCTACTGGAGGGATAGCATTAGGAGAATTACTTAATGTAGATGACGTGTTGATGGGTGCAGCAAACCACCATGGCACGTGTATACCTATGTAACAAACCTATACATTCTGCACATGCACCCCAGAAAGTATATTAAAGTATAATTTCAAAAGGAAAAATGTTTGTGTTGTCTTAAGTATTCTCTCTTCTCCCTACCTCTGTTAATTTTATTGTTACTAAAAGAAAAGAAGGGAGAAGGTATGCTTTCTTCCTCACCTTTGTTCAAGCAGGAAAAAGTATTGACTCGATTGAATATGAACAATCAACCCCATGTATAAGTCTCAGGAAGTTTCCAAAAAGATATAGTGAATTGAAGTAGACTATACAAATGTATACATAAATAGAGTCCCAGGGGTTTATGTGTGGACAAAAACCAATTACATGAAGTATTTTCTGAAATTGCTTTCTATTGTCAGGATAAGTAATCATAAGTAAGACATCCAGGTTGAGAGTGAAAACGATTGTGGGAATCCTGCCTCACTTTGTAATATTGTCTTCCCACAGAGGAAAATTTTTGAACAGTTTTGAGAGACTATCGAAAGGATCCTCTTTCTATAGAGTTCTGAAAGATACATTATTACCATTTCTTTTCCTTCCAGGTTAGCTTTTTAAGGTTGCTTGAAAAGAGAGATAATGAAGCTGTGGTATAGTTGATGTCCTCATGATGGCATTCATGTCATCTTGGATAAATGTTTAAGATTAAATTTGGTAGTTCATCCTGTAATTCAAAGAAGAAAGACAAACTTCAAGGACAACAGTATCACAAGTGTAGTACTGTAAATAAAGAACTTTTCTCTATCTGCTAATTGAGCACATGCACCTAACAGTACCTGTAAAAGCCAATGAAGGTGTTTTTTGTTGTTGTTGCTTGCCTTCTCCCCAAGAGGGAAAAAATATACATGTATACATATACACATGTATTTAGTGACTTAAACCATATTAACTTTCAGATAAACTAATCACATTGCTATTGCATTCTATATTTTATAGTCAATTCAAACACACAAATCTATCTTTGGATTATCTTCATTGAGTTCAGATATTTCTTTTATAACTGTTAATCACAAGGAACCGTGTGTGTGGGCGCATGCGTGTGGGTGTGTTCCCTGGTATTGACATGTTTAAATCATCTCAGCTGTTTCAACTGGGAGGTCTGGGTAAGGAAATAGCTAGATCAGTGGCTCTGCTGGTAGAAATTACTTCCTTTCCTCTGGTAATTTCAAACAATTCTAATTTGAAGTTTGAGGAACATTAAGGATTTCTCTGTGATTTCAGGTGAAACTGGAGAGGTGGAGACTAAATCATGCAGGGCTTTCTCTTTATGAAGTGTTTGTTCAAGTCTTTTGCCCAGATTTTATTGGAGTGTTTCATTTTTTTTTATTGTATTTAGAAGTTACTTATATATTTTGGTTCTTGACTTGGATTGTATATTGCAAATACTTTGTATTTCTCTAGGATTTTAAACAGGGATATCATATCAGATTTTCATTTTTTTAATCATTACAAGAATGATTGGGAGAAACAAGTTTTTTAGTAGTTCTAGTAGAAGATGGTGTTAGGATATGGGAAATGGAGAGAAGAGGACAGGCTCAAAAGATATTTGAGATAAACTCAGTAGGATTTGTTAGTGAAGATTAGGTAAGTGGTGGGTAAGATGAGAGGGAAGTGTCAAGAATGGCTTCAGTTTCTGATTCAGAAGAATACCACCATTACTGTGGACTTCACTTATTTTGTTTAAGATGTTGATAATCTGTATAGACTTGTACAATCATTATTTGCCTTGTGCATAAGACTACTATTTAGAATTTTTTGAAAATTACTGCAAATTGCAAATTTGTTGGTCTATTTTTATGGTTTAGTGATGTTTTTAAATTATCACCTCTTGAATTATAGAAAAAAATGTGCTAGAAATTATATTTCTTAAATTTTATTTTGAAAATTCTTCAGTCTAAAATAGAATTGCTTTGTGGTTATGTAGTATGGCTATAGTAGGTAATGAAACAGTAAGACATTAATGGGAAACAGGAACTTAAGAAAATCAATTAAAATGGATTTTTTGTTTTATAGGGGTCCCTTCAGTGTTGTACGACGATGTATCAACAGAGAAACTGGACAACAATTTGCTGTAAAAATTGTTGATGTAGCCAAGTTCACATCAAGTCCAGGGTTAAGTACAGAAGGTAAGAGATGGATTTCAAGTAAGTTATTTGATGTCTGGCTTTATTCCATCTCCAAAATCCATTTACCAACCTAACCTTCATCTGGGGGTGGGGAAGCAGAGGGTGTGATGTAGAGGGAAGTGGGTGGAGACAGTTTAAACTCCATTCTAGTTTGTCAGAATTCTAGGACATAGTATTTGAAAAACAGAGTAATTTACAGAGTTATAAAATCATCTAGGATTTCTGTGGGCCTCTGTTTTTTGACTAGAAAGAAAGCAAAATCTGGACATATATTTTTTAGGGTCTAATTTTGAATTCTATGGTGTGGATCATGGGATGGGAAAGGAGGGAGGTGATAAAATGGCAAAGATGATAATTGCAGATTCAGAAGAAACTTAGTTACCTCGAAATGCATCATTTACTACCTTTAGGATTATGATCTAGTGGAATGAAAAGATTCATATCTCACATTTGGCTTAAGTAACAAATATTTATACAGTATGTAAACATTTTAAAGTTATTTATTTTTTTGCTTCTTAAGCTATAGTTTCATGTAACTATGGTGTACATGCCCATACTTCAAATGGCACAATTGATCATGATATTAAGTTTTCTCATTAGCCTATTACTAACTTTTTTACTTTTCCACGTTAAGTAAAAAATGAATCCTTCTTTAGTCCTTCCGTTTTTAATCCTAAGAGCAATACAGTTGATAATTTAGATTGTAAAATCTAGGGCAGTGTAGCCTATTTATATTTTATTCAGGTATTTTACTTTGGGAAGTAGAAGTCTACATATTGTGACCTTCAAGTTAATCTGTTCCTGGAGATCTTTTTTTCTTTTAAATACTTTTGTGACCCTTTGAATTATTATTATTCATATAATAATTGTAGAAGATTCTTAGAAGTTGCTACTCACAAAGAATAACTAATTGATTTGGTTTTGGTGCTTTAATATTTAAAATATGGAAGATTTAGAGATTTTATATTTTATGGTTTTATACTCTGGAATTGGCTATTATTGCTTTTGAATGTAAATTTAAAATCAACTTTTAAGTAGGTTTTAGAACAGAATTATATTTCCTTAAACTTTTAACTGCCTTTAAGTTTAATATTCTGTATTTGATATTTCTGTACCTCTGTTGTCTGACCAAATACTGAGGTAATTTTGTATAAACCTAATTAATTACACATGTTCTGATTCTGTTTATAAACTTAGTAGGATTCCAATTTAAAATCACAAGTCTAAGTCAGTTACTCAGTTACCAATATTACATTGGAGTAATATAAGCCAAATTCTCTTAAGCATTGTTATAATTGAAATAAATATTAATAGCTTCTTTTTCAACCCCAAATTATCAATACCAGAGGTTTCACTTATCTCACTGCTGTACAAGATTGTAAATCTCTCCAGGCTGAAGGCATTTTTTCAGGAAATAATTACTTATCTTCTCATTGGCTCAGCTTGTTTCTTGATTTCTTCATCCAGCTCTCTTGAGCTACAGACCCAGAATGCCAAGCTGAATCTCTGTCTGTTGTCACCTGGATCAGGGAGTCAAACTCCAAATTTACAAAAGAGGAGAGGACTTAGTATATAGTTCATATACTACCTGGGATTAAGTCCTGTCTTCATTTAATATAATATACGAGAGCCTATCACTGAAGTTGTAGCTCATTCCTTCATTGCTTTACCATTGCTTTGGCTATATAAATGTCTTCAAGCCCTATTCTGAAGACAAAGCCAGCCATTCTATTGATCCCTCATACTCTTAAACCTCCTTGAACTTAACAGAATCCTGTACTCTTTTCATATCCATCCTATATGGTAGGACCACAATGTATAGATATTAAATGACATCCAGTTGGATTCTGGATATTACTCATGACTTTATCTGATTTTGGTCAGAGCTTAATTGTATTCAAGTGAAAATATGCAATTGGCCCTTTATATTTATTCCACCAGAATTAAGTTTTTACATCTTCTTTAGCACAACAACTCAGTATAAAGTTAGGAAACAGAATCAAAATTCCATCTCCACCACCTCTACCTTTTTTGCAATGGGATTTCCCTACCCTCTGTTGCTCATGTTCACACTAGCTTTCTTGATTCTAACTTGGACACATTTTATTATAAGATATATAATATATTTCATAAAGAGTAAAATTTTTTTATATAAAGTCTCTATGAACAGTGCTTCCCCTCCCTCAACTTCTTTCTACCCTTTTCCAATCACTATAGGTAACACATCTTAACTCCTCTGCTCTTCTGGTCCATTTACAAATTGTTAGGGTCCAAAAATGACCTCATTCATGGCTTTGCATAGAAGGAGATGCTACATAAGAAGACACATATTTTCAGGTAAAATTTAACACAGTAAAAAGAATCCATAACTTCAAATAATATCTAGAAATAGCTATATTTACCATTACATTCTTTCCCAAATAAACTTACCTCTTAAACCACAATTAATTTAAAATCTATTTTATTCTTTATTCTTTCCCTTTTATCATTTTATTATTTTATTTTTGGCTTAGTGGTTTGTTTGCTCTTTGTTATTACCTCAATTTATTTTTCTTGTTTTTCTAACTCACTTGTATTCAAATACATTATTGAGTGAAATAGGTCTTTAAAGGGTTACCTAAGAACCTACCATATGCTATTTATATGGATAGGTCATTATAATGCAAACAATAAATAAAAAGAGCCCCTACCCTTAAGGGACCTACATTTTAATTGTCTCCAACCAGGCCGGGCGGGGTGGCTCACGCCTGTAATCCCAGCACTTTGGGAGGCCGAGGCGGGTGGATCACGAGGTCAAGAGATCGAGACCATCCTGGTCAACATGGTGAAACCCCGTCTCTACTAAAACTACAAAAAATCAGCTGGGCATGGTGGCACGTGCCTGTAATCCCAGCTACTCAGGAGGCTGAGGCAGGAGAATTGCCTGAACCCAGGAGGCGGAGGTTGCGGTGAGCCGAGATCGCGCCATTGCACTCCAGCCTGGGTAACAAGAGCGAAACTCCGTCTCAAAAAAAAAAATTGTCTCCAACCATTGTTTATAACATGGTTTTTATTAGGAAAACAATGTGTAATAAATTCTAAGTAAATAATTTTTTTGAGATGGGTCTCTCTCTGTTACCCAGGCCAGAGTGCAGTGGTGCAATCATGGCTCATTGCAGCCTTGACCTCCCTGGGCTCAGGTTATCCTCCCACCTCAGCCTCCTGAGTAGCTGGGACTACAGGCATGCGCCACCACACCCAGCTAATTTTTTGTATTTTTTGTAGAGATGAGGTTTTGCCATGTTGTTCAGGCTTATCTCAAACTCCTGAGCTCAAGTGATCTGCCCACCTTGGCATCCCAAAGTGTGGGGATTACAGGCCTGAACCTCCGCTCCCAGCCCACCAATTTACTTTTGAAATGAAATGTGTTGATTTGTTGGAGGCCACCTGTAAATGTTTTAATATTTTAAATTCTCATTGTGCTAATGAAGATGAGATATTATAATTGGTGAAGCTAAAGATGAGATATTTCATAAAAGATAAGATGTTTTTGAATATCTGTTCTCTATTTTTGCCATCAAAATCATAATTTTTATTTTATGGGGCTTCTTAACTTGCAGGTTGCCGGATATTCAATAATCCCTTGAAATTGTAAGCAGAATTATGTTTATTTTTTTTAGAGAGTTGATAGCTCTTACTAGATTCCTAAAACAGCATATTATTCATAAATGGTTTAGAATTTCTCCTTTCACATGTATAAAAAAATGAAATTAATGCTTATGAACTTCAGAGGAATAAGAAATTTCTATTAAATAAAAGCTGGATGAATTTATATTAGGATATGACTTCTGATTGGGGGATATTTTTATACTTACGTATACAGCTTCCATTAATGAGTTTCCTAGATTATTATCTTGAATTTTTAATTAATATACTTTTTGTCTCTTACTTTGCTGAGCCACTAATTAAATTAGACTTTTTGTTTTAAAAGTAGGTATCAAAATTATTCAGACAAATAATAGTAAGAAAACTAAAGGAAAGTAAGATATATAGAATTGGAAACCAAATTATCAAAGTTCTGGGTTCTTGATAGGACTCAATTTTTTATTGTTTATTGTAAAAGTCCAAAATTAGCAGTTTTTATGTGGAAGTGTTATAAGTTGTATTCTAGAAAGATTATATTTTGGGTTCTAGTTTGCTTAGTTTTCAAGAATATGTCATTCTAAAGTCCCAGATAGTAGGTGATATCAGTGAAACTGAAGAAGTAAGGACTGTTGACAATTCTCACCTTCATTTTTAAAAAAATGAGAAAACTGACAAATGTCAGAATCAACTTTTTCAGGGCTCTGGAAATTGATCAAAGGCCTACAGCTATCCAGGAATAATTTATTCAAGAAAACTGACTGATTCTTGGTAAGAACAGTGAATTTCATAGCATTATATAATAATTTTTCCCATTTGCATCCCCTTCTCTTCCAGTTCTGTAGTAACCTTGAAAACAAACAGTTCACATTCATGAAAATCAGCAACTTGACAGCCATCAAAGGAGGCTGAATGGGAATGGAGCTCCTCCAAGGCCTTATTCCCAGAATATTGTCATTTTTTTACTTGTCTGGTAGTTCCCGGAAGACTTGTCTTAGTACATTTGTGTTTCTATATAGGAATACCTGAGAGTGGATAATTTATAAAGAAAAGAGGTTTATTTGGCTCATGGTTCTGCAGGCTATATGAGAAGCAGGACACTAGCATCTGCTTCTGGTGAGGGCTTTAGGACACTTACAATCCTGGTGGAAGGGGAAGGGGAGCCAGTGTGTATAGAGATCACCTGGCAAGAGAGGAAGCAGGAGAGAAATGGGAGGTAGTAGGTTGTTTTTAACAACCAGCTCTCATGGTAACTAACAGAGTGAGAACTCACTCGTTACTGCCAGGATGGCACCAAGGCATTCATGAGGGATCCACCCATGACCCAGACAGTTCCATTGGGCCCCCACCTCCAACACTGGGGATCAGACTTCAACATG